TAGTATTTAAATGTTTGCGTGCTATTGCTTTTTTAGAAAATTCTGCATAACAAAGTTTTTGGCAAGTTTCTTGGAACGGGAAGCATTATTGGAGAAAGACGATCAAAGATTATACTGGTTTTCTCCTTTTTTTTCGACGGACATAAGAACAAACCCCGTGTACTGGTAAATCACGACTAAAGCTTATTCGACCAATATCGTGTAGAGTTAGTTTGATTGACTTGCCGACCAACGGGCCCTGTTCGATCGTCACGAATCCTGACGTTTTTCGTAATAAAATTAGGACGGAAATTGCGATAAAATTATCGATCAAAGCTGAGTTTTGCTTGAATGTTTGCGAAGAACATGATTTGTTTACAAATATTCATTTTTTTTAATAAAAAAAAGACTAGATTTAGAGTTTGCTGATACCAAACGCAAAATTTTTGGTCAATTTTGATATTTCGTTTCAAGACATTTCTAACAAGGCAGTTGATGCTGTCTGGATTTTTTCAGAAACGAATTCTTTTAGGAATTTTTGGAGAAGGAGAGATGAACTTAGCGAAGACACTTTAGTAAATATTTTCGTGCATTTTATGCACTTAATTTACGCAAGCAAAAATATCTCGACTGGTGAGCGTACATATATCTCCCACAATTCTAAATCCCGAGATTTTAGAAGCTAGAAATCTTTAATTCCGCGAGCACAATCCCCGTTGCTAGCACAAAGATTATACTTTTCCCCATATGGAATTTTCAAGAAGCAAACAGAGTATGATTTTCGTAGATAATACAATTACAAGCTGTCGCGCACACCTTGAATTACGTACCGTTGTCCATAACAGTCGACAGTGCAACCTCTTTCGTGCCCGGCTTTATTGCGATAAAACCATATTCGCTGTGTAGTTCATCTCGATTGTTCATATCCCAAGCAAATGCACTGGAATCGAGCCTCACACATCACATGGTGGTGGCTAACCAGGACACGTCACCCAAACATCATGCTTCATAATTTTGATAAAATGAAAAACTTGAGATTAGCTCAGACAGTCAGCAACTGTACCAGTGGCATATCCCGGAAAAGAGGTGAGTAAGGGTGGTGGAGAAAGGGAGGAGAGCGAGCGAGAGAAGATAAAAGTAAAACTTAGGAGACACTAAATCCACCGAATGTGACTTAAAAAAACAGCAGCGAGAGTTTATGGATGGTACATCCAACTAGCGG